AACTCGGCACCTCGACCTGTGGGGCCCTCGAGAATACACCCCATATAGAAGATCTTCCCCAGGGAACATATCATCATGACAATCCTCTCCCCATCCGCCCCTTCCGTATCGTTGGCCTTCCCAATCCTTGCCGCCTCTGCCTTAAGCCAGCACAACGGTAGCCTGTCGCACATGCGGATCCGGCGCAGCAGAAACAAATCTTCTGAAATTCGGCGCCGTAAGCTTGGTCGCGTCCGCAGCGAATCCCACGCCGCGCCTTCTCTCCCTCATCCTCTTGTTACTCCACTCCGGGAAAAGAAAGCGCACGCAGCAACTCGACTTGGCAGCTCCACTGCGGACGCGCTTCCCACAAGCGGGCCTTCCACAGAGCACGTGCGAGCCGATCAGAATCTTCCCCCAGAGTTTCCGTCATAACCATATCTGGCCTTCAGAATTGTCGTGCTCGCTCCTGCTTCACCTCCTCCTCCACCCTTAGCTGCGCTGAACATCCGCCTGCGCATCCCACCTTCCCCACCTTCCTGCTCCACTCCTCAATGGCGCCCTCCACCCTTAATATGTACGCTCGTTTCCTCCCACCAAGTGTAGTTTGAGCTAATGCTAACATACTTGCCATTGTGTGCATCGTGTATCCGTCGTTTCGTTCTACAGCCCCCTGGAATGCTGCGCATCTATCATGTGCCACCTGATCCCACTATTCCTTCTCACGTCGTCGCAACCACTCACTCAACCTTCTTAGTTCCAGCTGAAGATGCAGGAGCTGCTGAATCTGGATCCTCCTGCTTACTACGGCCTCCAGCCCAGAGAACTGCTCTCGAATGTTGCGACGCTGCCAAAGCAAAGACGAGACCTCGGCATAATGACGCCTGTGATCCTCCGTGCACAGAGGACCCTCGCCCCCCCCAAAAAAAAATCGATGGCGGTTGAATTAATCGTCTCCATGAGCACAGCATTGGCTACATCCATTGCTCGAGACTCTGGCAAGGCTGACACATGCCCCCACTCTGCGTTCAAGGCGGATTCCACCTTTTTGCACGAGAGAAGCTCGTTGCCAGCCTCGCTGCGCCATCATTGCCAGAGCCTCTCCGCTGATCTTCGGCACCTGTTCACGGTGGTACTTGCCCTGCACATATTCATACGGTATTCTACAAGCAAGCGGCACGCGATCCCAATTTCTAGAATTATGATGAGACTGCAGACGCCATGCACTTCTTATGAATGTCCTACACTATGTGGCGTGATCGGCCCATTCTCTCGGAATAGCAATATAGTCCAGCACCTTCGGAATATAATTCAGACCATAGTAAGTATATCCAGCAGAAAACTCCGTATTCACAAAAACAAGGTTGCGTGCCTGAAACAGTTACAGTAACCCTGACGTGGTAGAATACATACTGCCCGTGCCGTAGTTACCCGTCACTCCTGGATAAGATTCAAACTGGCCATTCGCATCCATCATCACAATAGTCGACCACCTGGCCGACACACCTGAGAGATCCTTCGTAAGCCACTTGAGCATAGTCTCGACAGTCTTGGTCCATTGTCGACGTTTCTGGGATCCTCGAGGCATTGGCGGAAAGTACATGACAAAAATCGCGAGCCTCATGCCTGCACGTTCTAGCTTGACTCCTCCTACTCGTCCCTGAAGCCCTCGAAGTATCTCAAAAATCCTCCGACCTGTCTGGGGGTAAAGAGCTTCTTCCAGATCCACACGCTCACTCCACAACTTCGATTGGTGTACTGCCCTCTCCTCCACCCCCAATCAATAGACCAGTGTCCACCGTGCATTCTAGATTCAAATACATGCTGACCTGCTTGCTGTTGCGTTCCGACAAGACCTATGATGTCCGCGTTTCGTAGCCCATCCACAATGTCTCTAAATCTGGCGACGTTCGCCGACTGCGGGTTGTACTGCACAATCGTCACGCCACGACGGGGGGCCGATACCCTCTCCCGTGGAGGTGACACATCATCGGCCATGCTCCATGCGGGTCTGACGAAGGCCGCGCGCGCGGGGGGGGGCAACCCCCCAAGTTCGACACAGAGAGGCGGCCTTTCCTCCTCCTCCTCCTCCTCCTCCTCCTCCTCCTCCTCCTCCTCCTCCTCCTCCTCCTCCCTTTCTCTCTCCTCTTTTCTCCTCCTCCTCCTCCTCCTCCTCCCCCCCCCCTCCTCCTCTCCTCCTCCCCCCCCCCCTCCTGCTCCTCCCCCCCCTTCTGCTCCTCCTCCTCCTCGTCCTCCTCCCTCCTCCTCCGTCCTCCCCCTCCTCCCCCTCCTCCCCCCCCTGCCAATTGCTGGCGCTCTCTGTCTCGGGACACGAGGCGTCACACCGGGGCCCAGCGTGCGGCCCTCGGGCCGCCGCCGCCCAGAGTGCTGGGCCGGCACGGCGGCAGGACTCGCCGCAGGCCGCTGGACGAGCACCTTGCGGGGGGAACAATCGGCGGTGGACAGACCTCCCCTTGAGCACTCCAGATTTCGTAATAAAGGGAGGGGGGTCTCATTTCGGGGGGGGTCTCTTCCAGGCTATCTTGGAGGGCCTGGGGTGGTCTGGGGACGATGTTTTGCAAGGTTCTCCCACGAGGGGGGGTCTGAAATGGCTTGTCTTGGAGGGTCCAGACCCCCTCCCTTTTATCACGAAATCTGGAGTAGACCTCCACTTAGTGAAAACGGCCTGGGACCGAAACCGACGGACCTGGGCCCGCAAAAATGACGGCCGCGGCGCCCTCTCGCGAACCGAAAACGGCCAATTCCTTAATCGACGTGTCAGGGTAGGAGGTCTGTCCACCCCCGAAACAAAAGGGGGGATAGCAAAGAGCCTTACAGTCGGACTTGATTGGACAGGACACGCGAGAGGATACGAGACCCTTCCGAGGGCCACGTTGCCATGGGAATGTAGAAGGCATGGGTCGCGAGACACAGGACACAAGGGTACCCTTGATTTGGCAGGGTCGACCTACTAATCTGGGCCTACTGTAGCTGCCCCGATAGGCAACACGCAACACGTAGCGCATTGATACGGAGTTCAACACGCAGACTGAGCACGGACGCCTTGAACACGCCGCGTGTTGCGTTTCAAAACGTGCGTGTCAGAGCAGCTGAGCAAAGGGCAGGGTAGAGAATCAGCTCACGTAGCTGATTTTCCCAGCGCCTCCCGGCGCTGGGAGGCGCCAACGCATCGAGGAATGGGCCTGGCGGCGGGGCCGAAGCCAGCTGCATGCAGCAGACTTCGTAGCCCCCCCCTTTCCCTATCCCCCCCTTTCGTTCGGCCCGAACCTTCGGGCGCGAACGAAACATGGACGCCTCCACCACGTAGGGCGTGTCTTGGCTAGACAGCCACGCTGCCGACAGCATGTGCTGGTATATCAGGTGCGAGTAGTTGTCGTAGGCTTTCTTCTCCTCGGCCGTCTGTGTGTCCTTGCCGCGGAGGGCCATCTGCTTCCCCACGCTGGCCGGTGTCTCCGCCATACTGACATTCCACTCCGAGAGCGTCAGCAAAAGCCGCTGGAAGCGGTTCAGGTACGCCTGGCGGTCGGTGCCGTCCAAGTCGGGGTCGGCCTCCACCTTGGAGATGTACGTGTGCAGGTGCTGCACGCAGATGACCCCTAGCCACTCGACCATATCGTCGTACTCTTCCTTGAGGGGGGGTCGCATCGAGCTGCAATCGGCGATACGCCGCCGATAAATCGGCGATAAGCCCCCAAAAACAAGACCGCGCGTTCGTGGGCGGGTTGGGCTACCGGGCCCCCGTCGACGACGAATGGGCGATGCGGGGTCGATCGCTGCAGTCCCCCCCAATCAGGAGGGAAAAAAAAACACAGACACAATTAATCTTCGATTCCCCAGAAAATATTTGAAAATATGGGAAAGTGGGGGGGAAGACAAAAGCCCTAAAAATATACGAAAATATGGCGAATATTTTTATGTGTGTATTTATTTGTGTGTCCTGGGGCCCCTTCACCCAAGCCCATCACCAGCCCTGCCGGCGCCCCCGGGCTCTCGGGCAAAACCTCGGCTCTCCGGCGGCCGTTTGGGAGGAGCTGGACCCCGCGCCGGGACGCTGCCGGCGAGGCGCAGCTGCTGAAAAGCACCCCGAGGCCTGAAAACCGGCAGAAGCCAACGGAGATGTGCCAAAGCCTCCACCTCTGGCCCTTTGCCCCTACAGTCATCGGCCTGACCTAAGGAACGATAAATAAGGAACGAAGCCCCTTTTTTATCCCAAGGAATAACGCAGAAGGAACGATAAATAATGGATAACGCATAAGGAGCTGTAAATCACGCATGTAAATTCTAAGGAACGACCGAGCCCCTTTTGAAAAGTAAGTGTTCCTTATTCAAGCCGCTCACTGTAAGCCCATCCCCCCCTGATGTTGCCCCCGATTCCTTGCACTCCCCAAGGTGCAGGTCGCATTGCCTGCACATCTGGGCCACCTCGCAGCCGACCCGGCAGAAGTACTCCACGAGCTTGATGGCTGCGGCCCTGTAGCTGTCCTTGGACAGCGTGCTGGCCCCGTAAGCTATTCGATTCCAATTTGCGAGAAGCTCCTGTTGGCGCGATCGAAAATAATAAGGACAAAGACAAACAGCAGTTCCTGCCCATTTTGACCAGGGCTCGCTGTCGGCGTCGTGACGGACGCTGCCAACTTCAGGCGACGCGTCGCCTGCCCAAGAGCGGCCACTGTCGGCTTCAGACAGCAATTGCAGTTGGGCGTCGTAACCATTTTTCCCGTACCCGTTTCGGGCGTGTCTCGGCTACACGGAAGAGTGACCCTGGGTAAGAGTGACCTTTGGTGCGCGGCTTTCTGGGGGCCGCGGGGGGGCCAAACACAAGCGCACAAGACGCCTCTGCCGCCTCGCGTTCGGCGATCGGGGCACCCCAATGAGCCCGCACCAAAGGTCACTCCGGCGAAGGGTCACTCTTACGTGCAGTCGAGTGTCGATCCTTGCATGCAGGGCCACGGAGCTCCTCGAAGAACCGGCCGTGCACCGTCCCAAACTTGGCTCGCGCCCGGTAGTACTCCGTGTACCGCCCCCAGACGTGCCTGTCCTCGTCTGCCTGCGTGCCCTTCTTCGGCTTCTCGGGCAGCTGCAGGGGCACACTGAGGTCTCCAGACTCGGGGCCGAGGAAGATGGATTCCTGCTCCTTCTGCGTGAGGAACTCTCCTGGCTCGAACAGGGCCTTGCCGACCAGCCATAACTGGGGGAGCTGTGGTCTTTACCCCCATCGGGGAACCCATCACATTGACGATCTCTCTCGAGAGGGGTGTCGAAATCGATGGGCCCCCCAGGGGGGTAAGGACCACAGCTCCCCCAGCTGTGGCCAGCCTGCCTTGTGGAAGACGGCCCGCAGGCTGTCCTGCAGCAGCTTGCCGTGGCGGTCCTGTGCGAACCACTGCACCAGCAGCGGGATGCAGAGCCTCGGGGCCGTGAGGATGCACTGCACGTGCTCCGCCTCCTCCATGGACAGCTGGTTGTCGTACCTCTCCAGGCTGTCCTTGTCGCAGGCGAGAACGTCAGCCTCGCAAATGGGCTTCGGCCTCGACAGCAGCCGGACCTGGACTTCCTTCTCCTCTGGCTTGAACTCCTCTTCCTCTTGTTCCTCCTCACCCTCTTTCTTCGTCTCAGGTGGCTCTTCCAAATCATCCTTCGTCCCGATCACCGCATTCGCCAATGTCTCGAATACGCTGAGGGCCCCCTTTGTGGTATCCGCTTTGCAGGATACGCAAGCATCCTTGCCTTGGCCCGCTATTTCTGGGGTGATCGTCCCAACCATGAGTCCCAGCCTGTCGGGCACGTCTTCGTCTGTGTCCAAAATAGGCACCCACTTGGGCAGGATCAGGACGGGCGTGTAGGCTGTCTTGATCTTATCGTAAAGATCCCGCATACCCTTTGAATTGATCCCTTCGCTGTTGTCATCGGATGATACAAGCAGGCAATCCTCCAACACCAACCTTGCGAGGCGGGGATTGATCCATATCCACCGCCTGGGAACCGACGCCCTGGTGCCCCAGCGGGCGGCGGATATGGATATATGTTGCCCCCCCGGGGCCCGAATATATCCATATCCACCGCCTGCCGAGGTCCCCGAAAATTGATCCCCCAGGCGGTGGCCACGCATCAATTCCCGCGTCGGAAACCTGCACAGCCAGACCACGTCAGAGGCGTAAGTGATCTCCTCGTTCTTCTTCCAGGTGTGCCATGCCCACTGCTGCGCGGTCTGGTCGCGCTCCTCCCGTGCGAACCTGGCATTCTGGCCGGGGCCTCTCGTGGGGCCGACCTCGCCGCTGTATGCGTCGCCGTCCTGCCGCAAACAAATCATCATGTTACAACTGGACACAACAAATGTTGAACAAGTGTTTCGAACAATGTGTTCACCGCGTTTCCCCAGCCATCCTCTGTTTATGGATCCTTGTTTTGAAAAGACAGCGCCCCGCGTCCTCTTTCCCACTGCCCTCCACCTCCTCCCTCCTCCCTCCTCCCTCCTCCCTCCTCCCATTCCTGCCTGTCCTCCACGTGTCCGCTTCGGCACAGCCCTCATACGCTTCGAAGCCCCATGGGTAGCGCCGAAAATCCCACTGGCGACATCCGCATGTGGGCTTCACGCCCGTTTCGGCAAACCCCTCACACGTTCCGTGACCACAAAGGGGGCTCCACCCAAGGACCCAATGGCGACGATCGTATGTGGGCATCACGCCCGTTCCGGCACCCCCCTTACACGCTCCGTGGCCTCATGGGGAGCTCCACGCGAGGCCCCAGTGGCAACGTTCGCTTGTGGACGTAACGCCCGTTTCGGCACACCCCTCACACGCATCGTGGCTCCATAGGGAGCTGCGACTAAGGCCCCAGCGGCAACGTTCACATGAGGATGTAGCGCCTGTTCTCGGGCCTGCCCGCGGACGCCCTGCGCGCCGCCCGGATCGCAGCCTTCATGCCTTCGTGCTCCCGCCGCATGTGGCTGTGCTCGATCCCGGGGACGCCGCGCCTGGCGACGCAAGCGGTGGCGTCAAACTCCCCGTCGCCACGCTCGTCTCCGTTCTGGTCAGAGGACGAACTCGCGCTGCGGAGGTTCCTCCGGCGCTTGCTCGACACCCGCGCCTGGGCCTGCTGGCTTGTGGCCACCTTCTGCATGGAGGCTGCCAACGTTGCGTCCTGGCTGTTCTGCAACTGCCCGCGGGCATTCTGCTGGGCGCAGACGACGAGCGTGAGCTCGCGCGGCGCGTTGTCGGCCTTGAGAACGACCAAAAGCACCTCGTGCGGAGCGTTGGCGACCTGCCAGCCTGCCGAAAGGCCTTGCCCCTCTAGGAGGCGGGCTGCACTGTGCACCCGGCTGGGATCTGCGTCCGGAACCTGCCTGGCAGGGAACGCCCGCGCGCTCTCCACCGCAGGCGAAGGGGACACCGGCTCGCCAACTGCGGGCCCGCGCCCTGCCGCGCGGGCGCCAGCCGTCGCCGGCGCCGGCACGCCTGAGGGGGACCTGTCAGCTCTTGCCGAACGGCGGGGGCGCCGCCTCGACCTGGACCTGCGCCCGCGGCTGCCCGACCAGCGGCGCCCGCCGCTTTCAGACCTCCTGCTGACCGGACTGCGCGACGGACTGCGCCGGCGACGCCGCCCCCGGGACCTGCTATCGCTGGTCGGCATGCCGAACGTGATGCCGAACGTACGTGTAGCTGCGCTGGCTCCAAACGACCTTCGCTCGAGCCGCAACCGCTACGGAACGCATGAATGCACATCGTGGGGTTGCGACGCAGCGGGCGCGCTCCTCTTGCCCCGCCTGCGCGTCATTTCCTCGTGCCCCAGGGACAGCCCAATCAGTCAGTTGTTCGCGCGCCAGAGAAAAGTACTGCACGCCGGCGCCTGGGTTTCGCCGGGCCCCCAGTCCGACCCACCAGACGGCCATCGAGGATCCTTTCAGCGCAAGGAGCGACCTGGGGAATTGGACAAGGAAGGGCATTGCTGGACAACCGTCTTCCTTCGCATACCCGTACGAAGCCCGTTATCTTCGCACTCGAAATTATCCTCAGCATTTGCCCTTTAACACAAGCCTTGGCAAACAAAACGAACACTTAGAGACCTTTGTGACTCGACGAGCACGTCGGATGCCCAAATACCCCAAATAATGCTCACCACTGCGCGTCTGGCGTATGCTCGTGACGGACCCTGGCCGAAGTCGAAACTGCAGGGCAGCAGCATGTCTGAGGAACTTGTGAAGCCCGTCGCTTGCGGGACGGATCCCCCTGGACGGCTGAGGCACACGTTTGTGAGGCCGTGGCCCGTTACGCTTAATTAGCCTGAGCCCAACCAGCGTTGTGCCCACAGGCCCGTGCCTGCGCAGGGGTGCCCGTGCCCGAGCAAAGTGGGCCTAAGCCCAACCACGCACCGCGGACGAAGGCCCATGCCCACGCCGCGAGCCATGAGCCCGCAGGCTTGCGCCCTTACGGCAATTGTTTATGCGATCTGTGTCGGAGCCCACGCCTCCACACATGGGCGTGGACGGGGCCGGTGACATCGCCACCGATCTTCCGAAGCCGCGACGGACACCAAAGAACCCCACACGGGAGCCTCCCAAGCGGCCGCGACCTGCACCTCGGAGGTACAGGCCACCAACGCCGGGCACACGCCCGACCGACCTGCAGGACGGAGCAGGCCCGCGCCTGCGCGAGCGGGCCCGTGCCCGCGGCAGCCAGGCCCGTGCCCAGCCAGCGAGCTACGGACGGGGCGTTGACCTAAGGAACCCTAGATAAGGAACAAGGCCCCTTTTCCCCATAAGTTAACCTTCGAATTCCTGTCGAAAACAGAAGGAAAGCCCCTCCCCAACGAAACGGGTTCCTTCTTCAGGGCCCCGACTGTACGGACGGGGCCCGTGCCCCCGCCGCTGGCAATGTGCAAGCAGATGCGTATTTCCACGGCGGCCCTGCTGTGGCAGGGCTGCGCCCTCGCCTGTGCACACGGTGAAAACGGTCGGGGCCCGAAGCCTCGCCGCAAAACCCCTAAACCACCAACGCGCGCGCCCCGTGGCCACGCGAGCGGGCCCACGCCCGCGACAGGAGTCGTGCCCACCCAAACCGAGGCCGGCTGGGGCCCACGTCCCCCGCCGATGGGCCAACGTTTCCACTTGTGGCTGCAGTCGGGCCCGGGCATCCTCAAGACCGGGTTTGAGCTTGCGCCTGCGGCCGAAGCTTGCGCCTGGGCCCGCGCCCAACCCAGTGCCGCCGGACACGACCACCGCCCAGCGCAGTTGGGTTCCACTGTGCCCGCGGCCAGGGCCCCTGCCCCCGCCGCCACGCGCATCACCAGGCCAATCTCGAGTGGTTCTGAGGAGGGCATTGGGGAGGAGGGAGGGGTGCTGGGGAGGAGGGAGGGGTGGGAATGCTCTTCGTCTCCTGAGCCTGGGGTCGAGAGCTCCGCCGGTGCGCGGGCGCCGTCTGGAGGCCACGCACAAACGAGCACCGCACGCTCCGCCGGCTAGGCTCTCTAAGCCGTAACATCTTCCACCTCTTGTGTACTGTCTCGGCACCCGAGCTCACACCTCGCTCGGTCATACCACGGTTCGCGGTATTCCTCTTCTTCTCCCGGCTCGTCCATAGGGGGGGAGAGGAAGGAGGCGGGGGAGGAGGGAGGGGAGGAAGGCTCCTCAGCTCCTCGGGATGGGGTCGAGAGCTGTGACAGTGCGCAGGCACCGACTTGCAGCCCACACCCAGACAAGCATCGCTCTTTCCGAAGGCTAGGACATGCGCAGCTTCCTCCGCTCCACCTTTCTGTCAGGTCGTGGCGCAACGGCCAAACCTCGCTCGGTCAGAATGTGGCGTGTAAGCCTCCTCTTCCTCCACGTCAGTCGTCCATGGGTGGGTGGGGCTGGAGAGAAAGAAGAAGGTTTGGTGAGGTCGGGCCAGTGCCGCCGAAGTGGTGGTAGGCTTGTGCCTGTTGGGCCATGGCCCAAGACACCGCGCGGGCGAGGCCCGCGCCCTTGCCGCAGGGCCCCGGCCCGCACGCCCGCGCCATGCCGCCAGGGCCCGTGCCCGCGACGCGCTGCTTCCATCGTGCTCCGGGCCCCGGCGTCTCGCCAAAAAGCTAGTTTTTGTTCCTTCACTGCGGGCCGGACACCTGCAACGGCCCGTGCCCGCAGTCCGAGGGCCCGTGCCCCCACCAGAAGGCCCGTGCCCACACCGCAAGGCCCGCGCCTGCAGCCTGAAGGCCTGCGGCCTCACCTGAAAGCCCGTGTCCTGACCTGAAAGCAGCTGGAGACCGACAGGGGCCCGTGCCCCCACCTGGAGGCCCGTGCCTTCACCCGGAAGCCTATTTTTCTTCCCCCCACGGGCCCGTGCCCGCAACTGATTCCTTGTTCCCTACCTAGGCTCTGCCTAGAAGGGTTCTTACTCTCTTAGCTTAAAGGGGCTGGGCAATGAAAATCGCCCCGGGCGGTTCCCCCAGTCCCCGCCCCACGGTTCCCCCAGTTGCGCCCCCTGGGTTCACCCAGCTTAGCTTAGCTTCAGCTTAGCTTTAGCTTAGCTTGAGCTTAGCTTTAGCTTAGTTTAAGCTTAGCTGTAGCTTAGCTTTAGCTTAGCTTTAGCTTAGCTTTAGCTTAGCTTTAGCTTAGCGTTAGCTAAGCTTCAGCTTAGCTCTAGCTTAGCTTTAGCTTAGCTTCAGCTAAGCTTCAGCTTAGCTCTAGCTTAACTTTGCTTAGCTCTAGCTTAGCTTCAGCTTAGCTTCAGCTTAGCTCTATCTTAGCTTTAGCTTAGCTCTAGCTTAGCTTCAGCTTAGCTTTGGCTTAGCTTCAGCGTAGCTTTAACTTAACTTTAGCTTAGCTTCAGCTTAGCTCCAGCTTAGCTTTAGCTTAGCTCTAGCTTAGCTTTAACTTAGCTTTAGCTTAGCTTTAGCTTAGCTTTAGCTTAGCTTTAGCTTGGCTTCAGCTTAGCTTCAGCTTAGCTTCAGAATAACTGTAGCTTAGCTCTAGCTTAGCGACAGCTTAGCTTCAGCTTAGCTTTAGCTTAGCTCTAGCTTAGCTTCAGTTTAGATTTAGCTTGGTTTCAGCTTAGCTTTAACTTAGCTTTAGCTTAGCTTCATCTTAGCTCTAGCTTAGCTTTAGCTTAGCTCTAGCTTAGCGGTAGCTTAGTGTTAGTTTTAGCTTAGCTTTAGCTTAGCTTTAGCTCAGCTCTAGTTTAGCTTTAACTTAGCTTTAACTTAGTTCTAGCTTAGCTTTAGTTTAGCTTTAGCTTAGCCTTAGCTTAGCTTTCGCTTAGCGTTAGCTTAGCTTTAGCTTAGCGTTAGCTTAGCTTTAGCTTAGCTTTGTCTTAGCTTTACTGTTACTACTAATGCTGCTTTCCTAGGGGCTCCAACTCCTAGGTAGGGTCGCACTGGGATAATGTTTTTGTTCGGCCCGGGCCCGTGCCCTCGCCGCCACACACTGCAGATGGGGCCCATGCCCTGCTTGTGCCTGCGGGCCCGTGCCCTGCTTGTGCGACACGTCGCCTTTCTTTCGGGCTGGCGCCCTGTCAGTGCTCGCGGGCCCGTGCCCGTCGACGACCCCTCAGGGCCGAATGGGAATTTGAGCAGGGTCCGCGCCCGACCAAGTGGAAGAGACAATACATGAAATGCAATCGACTGCAAATGCAATCACCTGTGAAGCTACGACAACAGGTGCAATGCTACATGTTCATACGTTTCCCTCTCTCCTTCTGCATGCTCCATTACCGTGACATGTTCTCCCTCGCGCACAACGCGCGGGCGCGTTGTTCGCGGAGGAGAAGGCTACAAGCGTCGACAAAAACCACTGGAAAGCAACGATTTTACCATCTTCGGGCTCTCTCGGGACGGCTCCCAAAGCTCTCTTGGGCTGGTTGGGGGGCCTCGTCGGGGATTTTCTGGGAGCCTCTCAGGGGTCTGGGGTGTGTTGGAGGCCTCTGGGGGTCCCCGAGTCCTCTCAGAGGTCTCTGGAGGCCTCCTGCTCCCGCTCTTGGGCTCATCTTGGGCCTGTTCTGGGGTGGTCTGGAGCTGTCCTGGGCGTCTCTTCGGCAGTCTTGGGGCCGTCTTGGCCCGTCTTGGGGCCGTCTTGGGGGCCTCTTGGGCGGTCTCGGGGCGGTCTTGGGGGCCTCTTCGGCCGTCTTGGAGCGTTGGGAGCATGAAATGGTGAGAAAGCCAACAAGCCATGAAAAAACAATGAACATGGCGATCTCGGGAGGCCTCTCGGAGCTCTCTTGAAGTCTTGTGGAGGCCTCCTGGGAGCATGGAGAGCCACCCGAAAGCTATCCTGGGTTGCTTGGGAGCGTCTTGGGCCTTTCTTTGACGGTCTGGGGGCTTCTTGGGGTCGTCTTGGGCTGTCCTTGGGCATTTTGGGGGCTCCCCCGGAGGTCGGGAAGCGCGGTACCGCGAGCGTTCTGCAGATGTTCCGGGAAGGTGTGGGACCCCAGGGGGGAGGGGGCGCGCATGTGTTGTTTTTGTTTAAACAAAAAAAAAGAATCTCTGACACTATTTAAAAACAATGTCTTCGGTCTTGGAGCGTTGAAATCGGGAAAACGTGAGAAGGCGAAAGAAGTCGACAAAAACAACTGGAAAGCAACGATTTTACCCTCCTCGAGCTCTCTCGGGACGGCTCCCAAAGCTCTCTTGGGCGGGTTGGGGGGCCTCATCGGAACCTTTTTGGGCGCCATTCTCAAGGGTCTGGGGGGTGTTGGAAGCCTCTGGGGGGTCCCCGAGTCCTCTCGGAGGTCTCTGGCGGCCTCCTGCTCCCGCTCTTGGGCTCATCTTGGGCCTGTTCTGGGGTGGTCTGGAGCTGTCCTGGGCGCCTCTTCGGCAGTCTTGGGACCGTCTTTGCCCGTCTTGGGGCCGTCTTGGGGGCCTCTTGGGCGGTCTTGGGGGCCTCTTCGGCCGTCTTGGAGCGTTGGGAGCATGAAATGGTGAGAAGGCTCAGGTTCTCTGCGCTCTCGGGAGGCCTCTCGGAGCTCTCTTGAGGTCTCTTGGAGGCCTCCTGGGAGCCTGGAGAGCCGCCCAAAAGCTATGATGGGTTTCTTGGGAGCGTCTCGGGCAATTCTTTGACGTTGGGGGGGGGGTTCTCGGGGTCGTCTTGGGCTGTCTTTGGGCATTGTGGGGGCTTCCCGGGAGGCTGGGAAGCGCGGTACCGGGAGCGTACACGAGATGTGAGCGAGGTGGAGGACGCCCCGGGAGGGGGCCCAGCGTATTTGTTGCTATATATATATATATAGATAGAGAGAGAGAGAGAGAGAGAAAAAGAGATATGTTTATGTGTGTACATGTATATATATATATATGATATATATATATATATATATATATATATATATATATATATATATATATATATATATATATTATACACATAAATATAGACTATTATTATTCGTATTATTATGCAGCGACGATCGCATGTGGACCTCACGCCTGTTTCGGCACACCCCTTACACGCGTCGTGGCTCCATAGGTGGCGACGTTGGGGTCACGCCAGTTTCGGCACACCCCTCACAAGTTGCGTGGCCCCATGGGGGTCTCAACATAAGGTCCCTGTGGCGGCGTTCGCATATGAGGGTCACGCCCGTTTCGGCACACCCCCCATACTTTTTGTGAACCAGTAGGGAGCCCCATCGAAGGCCCCAGTGGCGCCGTTCGCGTGTGGACGCCACCACCGAATCGGCACAGCCCTCACAAGCTTCGTGGCCCCATAGGGAGCTCCACACAAGGCCCTACTGGGAGTGTTCGCACGCCTCCCCCGCGCCCCGTGGGGAGCTTCACCCAAGGCCACAGTGGCGACGTTTGCGGGCGTCGCACCAATCTCGGTACACCCATCACGAGGATCGTGGCCCCACAGGAAGCTCCACCGAAGGCCCAAGTGGGATGGTTCGCATGCGGCTTCCCCCCATGTCAGCACACCCGTCATTCGTTTCGTGGCCCCCTAGGGAGCTCCACCGAAGGCCCCAGTGGCAGGGTTCGCATGCGGTTCCCCTCACTTTCGGAACACCTCTCACACGCCTCGTGCCCCCAAAGAGGAGGAGGAGGAGGAGGAGGAGGAGGAGGAGGAGGAGGAGGAGGAGGATGCCTTTCCCAAGCTGAGTGTTGTTTTGAGTCCCTGTCCTGCCCGCCGAGGTACTTGGGCCTGTCCGCGGTTGCATCCGTGGGATTGGGGATGTAGTGGCACACGCACGCCAGCATCATGCAGAGCGTGACGTCGTCCCTCTTGCCACTCTCGGTCATGGTGACTGGCAGGTTGGCCTCTGGTTTTACCACTAACGCAATGTCAATTGCTCACCACCGACGAAACGGCCCTGAGACGCTACAGAATGGGTCACCAAAAATCATTGGCCCTGGTCGACCAGACGTGCCCCAGCCGTTCGTACTGGAATCAGTACGCCAGGCTTGCGGGAAACAGCAGCTAAGAACCCCAAGCGGAGAACGAGGAAGCAGAAAGAGAGGAGGAGGAGCAGAAAAGTCGGGGGCGGCCAAAAGGGGGGCGTCCAAGAGGGAGGGGCGCAAATCATGGCCAGCGGCATGTGCGCGGCCCAGGGGGGGGCCAGGGACGTAGCGACATAAGAAGAGGCGCCATGACAACTGAGGAAATATCATGGCCACGCCATGATATACACCCCCCCTAGTCATCACCCCCCTCTATGCCGCCACCGAAAAAGAGGCCACGGAGAAGGGACAGTGGCGCTGCGTGTGCGCTTAAACCCGCGGCTGGCAGCTTGGCCTCCGTGGCCGGCCGGTACTTCTCCAGGACCGGCTTCTTGGAGAGGCTGGGGCTGTAGACGCACGTTGGGTCCGACCTGTCGTCTGGGTTCCAGTCGAAGAGCAGCCACGGCCCCTCTGCAGGATCGGTCTGCATCGCAGCGGGAGATCGGATCGGATCGGCAGGCGCACCGAGTCGGGCCGTATCGGCACGCAGTCGAAATCGAATCGGATCGGCCGCGCCAGGATGAACAGCAACGCCACGTCAGCACCGGGCCGCATCGGATCGCAGAACAGCCGAATGGAATCGGATCGGACCGAACAGAACCGATACCGGATCGGATCGATCCGATCGAGATGGACCCTGCCTCTGGAGTGTTCTTGTCGCTTGCATCCTTCTTGTTAAGAAACTGCTGCTTCGGAGGCCTCGCGAGCTCATCCACTACCCTGATGTCCGCCGCCGCGTTCTTGCAACGGATGGTGTGTGCAGGTGTGGATGTCTGGTCCTTGATCTATTTTCTGGACAGCGTTTCGCTGAAGGGCTCTGAGACTTGTGGACGTTGACTGCACTAGAATTACCAGCCTGGAACATATCCCTATCCCTATGTTGGGCATCGCCTCATCACGATGGCGATCTCAGGGATTTCCTAAGTTTCTGAGGGTGCATCCCTAAGATTGTCATCTCCTGTTAGCGCGTCAATCTTAGGGATAGGGATAAGTTCGAGGCTGGTGATAGAATCCCGCAAGTGGGACGGAGAGACCTAGACCGCCCGGTCCCGCACGGTCTGGCGGCGGCTCCGCCCGGGACGGCCCCGCAATTGCTTCAGGAATCGTGCTCTCGCCTCGATGCCAGCTGCATTCGTGGGTCCAGACGGCCACGACCCCTCGCAACTAGTCTAGCGAAGGGCACTACTATAGAAAGTTGCGAGCAGCGCAATTGTGAGCATCGTCTTCGGTGGAGCTCCCTGCGCGGCCACGCAACGTGTGAGCGGTGTGCCGAAATGGGCGGGGGGACGCATGCGAACATCGCCACTGGGGCCTTCGGTGGAGCTCCGTATGGGACCACGAAGCGTGTGAAGGGGTGTGCCGAAATCGGTGGGGGGAGACGCATGCGAACACCGCCACGGGAGACTTCAGTGGAGCTCCTATGGGGCCACGAAGCCCGTGAAGGGGTGTGCCGACATGGGCGGGGAAGACACATGCGAAAACCGCCAATGTGGGCCTTAGGTGGAGCTCCCGATGGAGCCACGAAGCGTGTGAGAGGTGATCGGCGGGGAATACTCATACGAACACCGCCACTGGGGGGCTTCAATAAAACTCCCTGTGGGGCCACGAAACGTGAAAAGGAGGTGCCGTAATGGGTGGGGAGGCCCATGCGAGAACGGCCACTGGGGCGCTCGGCAGAGCTCCCTGTGGGGCAACGCACCGTGTAAAGGGTGGGGAAGAACTGGCGGGAGAGACGAATGCGAACACCAACGCTGGGGCCTTCGGTGGAACTCCCATCGCGGCCACGGAACGTGTGAGGGGTGTGCCCAAATCGGCGGGGGAAACGCATGCGACCACCGCCACTGGGGCCACGAAAAGTATGAGGGATGCGCCGACAAGTGACTGTTGCGGAGGCAGAGGCAAGGATGGGAGAAGGGAGGGGGCAGCGGGAGGGAGGGACGGAAGGAGACGCGGCGCGCTGTATCCTCAAAACGGAACCCAACACCACAGGTTGGTTGGGGTAATCAGCCTGGCGAAAGACCCAGCAATATGCAGCTGTGAGTCCCGCGTTGTAGGTGCCGCTTTCGGTGGAGCTCCCTATGGGGCCACGAACCGCGTGAGGGGCATGCCGTAATGAGTGGGGGAGACGCACGCGGCCACGGCCCCTGAGGCCTTCGGTGGGGCCCTCTATGGGGCCGCGAAGCGCTATACTTAGCGGGGGGACCGCATGCGGCCGCGGCTACTGGGGCCTTGATAGGAACCCCCTTATGGCGCCACGAAGCGCCGTACTGGGCGGGGGGGACGCATGCGGCCGCGGCCACTGGGGCCTCCGGTGCAGCTCCCGATAAGGCCACGAAACGCTGTACTGGGCGGAGGAGACGCATGCGGCCGCGGTCACTTGGGCGTTCGGTGGAGCTCCCTGCCACGAAACGTTTAAGTCCGTGGGGGGGACGCATGCGGCCGCGGCCACTGGGGTCTTCGGTGGAGCTCCCCATGGGGCCACGAAGCGCTGCACTGGGTGGGGAAGGCGCATGCGGACTGCGCCACTGGGGCCTTCAAAGGGGCTCCTGATGGGGCCACGAACCGTACGAGGTGTGTGCCGTAATGGGTGGGGGAGGCGCATGCGGACACCGCCGCTGGGGCCTTCGGTGAAACTCCCTATGGGGCCACGAACCGTGAATAGGGGGTGCCGTAATGGGCGGGGGAGAAACATGCGGACTGCGCCACTGGGGCTTTCAATGGAACTCCATATGGAGCCACGAAACGAAGCGTGTGAGTGGTGTGCTGATATAGACATGCGGAGGGCAGGGGACAGGAAGGGGAGAATGAGGAGGGATGGGCGGAGAGGGGAGGAGGAAAGAGTGAGGGAGGGAACGCGGGACGACGCGCACTCAGAACGGGGACCCAACACTGTAGGATGCGTGGGAAACACTCGAAGGGGCACACGACCGTGCTCGCACCCCTGTCCGGGCTGCACAGGTCCGTAAAACAACGATTCACTGGGTGCCTCTAAGACTGGGGGAACATCAGCGGCACAAACATACAAACTCGGGGGTCCGCGCGGGCTTCTCGGACCCGGGGTGTCCGGCGCGGGCCCGAGGAAGCCGCGCGGACCCCCGAGCATTTCTGTTTATGCCATTGTCTATTCCCCTGCTCACGGCCAGAACTCATCAAGGCACTCATGTCGGGGAGACGTAAGACCCGGGTACGGGGGACTCGGAAATCCCCGACGAGGTCGTAAAAAAAACTGACGAGGCCGAGCCTGCATTTTGACGAGGCCTCCCGCTGCAGACATCCCACGAAACTCCTCCTCGTCAAAATCCGAGGCGCGGTCGTCAAAAAACGATGGCGAACCCGAGTCCTGGCAAACCCGGGTCTTACGCTCCCCCGATCATTAACTGATCATGGCACGCGTGCTGAGAAGCACCTGGGTAAGACCCCAAAGCTAAACCCACCCACGGAGTACTGGATCCCTGCAACAGTCGGGCGTTGGCAGAACTGGGTTCAGTGGGACCTGGTTCAGTGATGTGTACTGGGGGACGCCCCCCCGCCTCGTTCCACTAACCAGAACCGCCGTCACCCAAAAAAACACCAGCTACGGCAGACTTGGTTTAGTGATTCTGGCCAATGTGAGGGCTCGGAAGCCCTACGACTGACTGGGCCCCTTCACCTGGGATCCTGGCCGTACCCGAGCGGTGGCGGGCCCGCGCGGCAGCGCAGCCGGCTACTCGAGCACCTTCGCACGGCACCTCAGCACGTCTGGGTTGCAGCACTCGAATTTGGCCATCAGCAGGTTGGCGTCCACGCCAGACAGCGACGAGGTCGAAAACCCGACCGGCACGCAGGCCTTGAAGTCGGGTTCCTTGTAGGGGTCCTCGGGGTGAACGTTGGCTCTGCTCCAGGACTGAGCTCGAGCGTGAAGAGACAGGGAGCCGATCATGAGTCAGAAACCCGAGAAGATACACGGTCGCTTCAACTATACGTCGCACTACTGGGCCCCATGCAAAGGATGATGAAAAGAAGGAGGACGAGGAGAGGAAAGAGGGTCCTCAAGGACGTTGCCACGGAGAATGTCAGCGAAGAGCATGTTGCTGGGAGACCTTCTCCCGGCAGGTAGAGCAGGAAGGGATGCGAGAGGAAGGGAGTCAGGGAGTGAGGAAGAAATAGAGGCAGGGGGAAGGAAGGGAAGAGGGAAGCAAAGGCAACAGGCAGGGAGGAAGGAGGGAGAGAGAAGGGACAGGGGCTAGGAAGGGACGGGGGTCAAGAGAGAAGCATCTCTGCGCGATGCAAAGCTTCGACCCTTCGATGGCTTTCCGCAACAACGGCCTCTCCCCTCCCTCACCCCTTCCCCCCATCCGTTCCCCCACATGTCTTCTCGCATCCCTCGCACATCCCGCCTTCTCCTCCTCCTCCTCCTCCTCCTCCTCCTCCTCCTCTTCCTGCTCCCCCTGCTCCTCCTGTTCCTCCTGCTGTTGCTGCTCCTCCTGCTGCTCCTTCTCCTCCTCCTCCTCCGCCTCCTCTTTTTCTCTCCTCCTCCAGTTCCTCTTCAGGTCATACCTGCCACCGTGCCTGCGACGCACGAGTTGAAGCGTCCTCAAGTCCCTTGATCAATCCCTTGAGCCTCAAACGTCAATCCAGAAGATAGGACCCCGACCCACAAATCTCAAATGTCCCAGGCTTCACGGCGTGCCTTCTAAGCCCGGCCAGTGTTCCCGCATGACATTTTCGACGCCAAGAGGGCCCCCAGAGGGGCCAAGAGGGCCCCAAGAGGCCTCGAAGGCGGCACAAGAGGGCCCCAACAGGCCGTCGTTGAGGCCTCCTGG